ATATATATATATATATATATATATTCTTAGTGGAACTGTAAAAGTTTATTAAACAATTCCACATTGGTATGGTTTTTCTAAATGACAGTTATGAGATGACGCTTTGCTTCCACTGCCTAAAGTACCTCAATTAAGAAGAAACAAGTGTTCCCTCTTTGCAATCACCCTCCAAACGACCGCTTCTATGTATTAAGCGAATAGCTCTCCGGTCGGGCGATTTGTCGAATATTTATTCATGGACATCTTGTCAAGGCGTTGTTTTGCTGAAGATTGCATATCAATAAATTTACGGAAGCGCTGTCTCCAGAGGTTACCCAACTCTACCGCATATTCACGGGCTTTTCAAGGGACTTGTGGCATTTTAACATAAAGTGCATTACGAATGTCTTTCGACTTCGAAAACTGACAACATACACATGACATACGTCTCCACTTTAGGGAATATTCTGAACTCATTCACTAGCAATATTCTAACGAGTTGTCTGATGCACTTTCCAATCCACAATGTAGATTCAACTGCCTTAAAGCGGAAATATTCTAACCAACCTTACTTTACATGGTATGTCGGGTTACTTAGTCCAAATTTTCACCATTTTTGTGGTGAAGTTGGCTCTTCTTTACACACTCTTTCACTGGACCCTTCATGCAATGGTCACAGTGAACAGCTGCATACTCTTATCATGCACGCTAGGGTGGTCATTGTTATGAGTGTTGAGTTGGCATTGACACAGACAAGTTCGCCCATACTGGAATCGCGCAGTGTAATTTTCGCTTGAGAACTGGGTAGGATACACCATACAGTTGGACTGTGTAAATGATGGGACTAAGGTGGGAGTAACGCTCTACGTTGCTACAGTAGCAAAATCTCAGCCGAGTTGAATGGCATCTGAGATCTTCACAAAAACGAGGTCACATACTTGCTCACGTGATTTAAAAAATTTAGACATTCTCTAAGAAAACCCCATCGGTAAAATCAGACAAGCAGATGACCAACAGTTAGGGAACACCATCTGGTTAAAAAATATATAAGCTAAATCGTATGCCTCAGAATCTTCTGCGCCAAAAGTCAGCAGTCTCAGAGATTTACAAGTATTTTGAACTGGAGCAGCGTACAGGGCATACTTTAAGATAATAAGTCATTTTTAAACAGATCGACATCTTGCTTTCAAAGAGAAGAATCACTATTAAACGTCGAAAAAACGTATCGCGTATCAGCTAAAATGGCAGTCGCGTAACTTAGCAAAAACTATACGGCAAGCTGGACTAAAGGGATTCACCGAAGTGTATGTTTGAACAACTCTTTTGTCACTCAAGGAGAGTAACGTAAAGGCACGCGTCGTCCGGCACCACCTGTCAACCGTGAAACCCTGAGCTGGAAGCGTGGGCGTGGGGACCTACTATAAAAGACAGAAACCGCCAATTAGTAAAAATGAATCAGGTTCGAAAGCTTAAAACACACTGGAATGGGATGTAGTTTATGCAATGGTGTCTGCAAATGGTGTATGCAAATGGTGTCTTCCTTTTATTGTATATCAGGGATCTTCGGTAGACTGCGACTAGTTATTTCTCGCGCTCTAATTGGCTCATTCCTCTTCCAGTTTTTACACGTTCTTCCAGGTAGTGTGGTAATCGGTATCCAGATATCAGTGTATATTGAAAAACGGTTTTTGAAAGAGGAATTCTACTCAAAAACTGGAGTGATTGTTTTGATTGTTTTAGAATTACGTTCAAATATATTCCACAAGTAGACTAACCGATATCAGTGCAGTAGCCCTCCTATACGTGTCACAGTTGGGAGAGATGAAACTTGATCGTCCAGAGAATCGAATTAAACTAATTTTCACACGTTCATGTGGCACCATAGGTTGACCATTGACCATGCACTGAAACAAAGAGAATCGTTTAGTATCCCGTGATTGATTTTGTCGCCTCAGTTTATCCCTAAAGTTCGTACCATAAATCATTCAGTTACTTAAGAAGGATAGTGAAAAAACAGTGATCATGAAAGAAGTCTCATCACTTAACTCCATTTCTGCCCTAATGTGCGTATGCGGGGCCGAAATGACTCAGTGGTTAGAGCGTGAATTTACTGACTGAAGGTCCGTGGTTCGAACCCGACTTCTGCCTCTCGAATTCCACTGTCTAGACTTAGGTAACCTGGCAGTATCTCGGCCCTCATGCTTCCCTCAGCTGGCATGGTAGTTCAGCATCAAAAGGGTGCTACAGCTAAACGAATAATATTATGTACGTATGCATATGTAAGTTTTTGTCACAGCAGCCCATCTATGGAAATCGCATTTCAAGACCTATTACTGGAGCCACACCTGTCAATTCCCAAGTTGAACGGCAGACGTCCAAAAATGATTAAAGAAGGTCCCTCAGCCTGGTTCCTTACTTCGATGTGCATACCGTGGATCGTTTATTTTGTAATAAGTTCGATGGCACTAAATGTGCTTTGGGGGCCTTCGGGCGTCGGTTCATCCTGCTTCGACAGGCTGTCTGGTCAGCTGACCAAGGTAGTGTGATATCTCTCCAAAACCTCCAAGAAAATTGAAGGAAAGTGTTACATGATATATGATCTACAGGCTTTCCAGCTTTACGTACCGCATCCATAAATTTGGTTTTGTTCAATGTTGATTATAGGATCAGCTGTTTTTCTAGGTAAGTACAAACCAGGAAAAACCTTCATCTGTGCCTTACGGCTATAGCTTAATGGTCGTCATTAAATGGTATTCCAATGAAAGCGAATTCACTTATTCTTGCGTAAGCTGTGTCCTCCATCGATTTGAATCTGTCGTTGACGACTTCAGCTTGCTCCAAATGACCTTCGAGCAGCAACAGCATTAAACGAATTCATCCAGTCTTCTGAAGTCATAAGTACTTATGCAAGAAGTGGAAAAAAAGAAGTGCCTTCTGTTCCATGGTACTCAGCGTTTACCAAACATTGAAATTATTCGGCGTGTGTTTGGGAATAAAACTGTCAAATATGTTTGTTCATGCGCTTCAGCATGGTTTGGGGAGATAAAAAAACAGGATCAGATAATTCATTCTCCTCCATGGGGTTGCTTATTGGCCGTAAAATGGATATAACCAGACAGTTGATATCTAACCGTCATGATATTATGATCCAGCTCGGTCACGCAAAAGGGTACTGTTCATCTATCGATCAATCACTAGCAAGGGTTATATTTTCAAACAATTGAGGGATAGACATTTTTCCAGTCTAGCAGGAGGTCACGTGCCGCGACGACATCACAAATGTGTCCCAATATGGCTCGAAATTCGTTATGTTCCAAAATGGACTAGGACGTAAATGTTCCAGCATCTTAACAGCTTTCTTACCACAACCAATTGGTAGCTCAGAGTGGCGCGTCGTCCATTTGTTAATTTAGATTTTTAATGGAATTTCCTTTATTATTTTCAACCTTTTTCCGTCACAGGATTTGGTCAAGTGGTTGAAACAGAGGATGGATAAAGAACATGGTCGGCTATGGCACTGCACAATCGTCCGAGGCCAGTATTTCTCCTTCTATTCATATCAACCAGGACACTCATTCTGCTTCAAAATTGGACCAAGGATTTTTATTGTCTTCAAGACACCATTTTATTGACTTTTCATCACGAGGTAATCATTGATTCCCTTCGATTGCAAAATGGAGGGGAACGAATACTATTGCGATAACGTAGTCGCACGAACCACGCTACATATCGGACTATACCAGAACAATGTAAAACCCTGTATATGATAACCGTTTTCAATGAAACCTATACTGCTGGATGTTTATTGTTATCTTTCGTCAGTCTAGAGCAGAGGTTTACATTGCTAGTTGTTTGATCTGAGACTTTTAACGAGTCATACAATAGATGGCTGGGTTGCCGGCAGGAATTGAATCTGGTTAAAACCACTTGAGAGGCGCACGCAATTTTGGTCGAAGAAATTTGTGAGTCCGATTTAAATATTGTTGCCTACAATTAGTTTTTTTTTGAAAAGAGTAAACGGAACCGCCCATGCAGTTCTACGTAATCATTACATAAGTGTGTATAGGGATGACATCAGGCGAATAAAGGGTTAGCCTTATATTGGCCTTATATATTGGCACCATCCGCTTGTTCAGCTGATGTTTAGGACATAACCACAGCAGATGTCCAGGTGGATGCCTGTGCACATTTAAGAACATCAAATCGGACAGTTTCTGTGTAGTTCAAATGCTTCGGTCATTTCAAAAGAATAAATCAAAAAGCTCTACAACATATGTGAATTGTTCGGTGGGAAATATAAAGAGCAACTAAAACAGCTAAAGCAAATTTCGGCAGTTCAAACGATCAGCAGCTAGAGGGACGTTTCTTAGCAACCTTTCCCTGTTATCATAGCTAGAGGCAGTTTAGTCTCCTGTAAAATTCAGATTCGTTTGCAAATGTAACTATTCATCGAGTCCTAATAACTTTTTATCAGATAATTGCTGTTTAACCGGTAACTTGCCTGTCCCTGTGCCCACACTGCCAGACAATTCACATGATCAGCTGTATTAGGTAATCACATTGTCCCTTTTGGGACAAAGTAGGGTTCACCAGAATAGACTCTTTAAAGTAGAATACTTAACTAGTACCAATGAAAAAATGATGCCTACTCATGTTCATATGAGAATCTGAAATGCATACAGACATTGGCAATGGTCCAATTCACATCCTTTGTTTCATTACACAAGTGTGTGGTGTATTCATTTGTGCTCAGCTGCTCTGCCGCATGATTGAAAGCCAGACAAATAATGGACATCAGCAGATTAGGGTGCAGATGCTTACCTGAATTTTCTTCTGTAACGCTATTGTTCTGTTATCTGAAGAGTGTGCTGCGAGCGTATCATGGTCCACCCCTCTGACACGACTCTCGTTAATATTTATGAACCCCTTGTGGGGCCTTTGAAGTTGCGCGTGCTTCTAAGTGTAGAATTTTATTTTACAAACCTGGACTTGGTTGCATCTCAAATGGAACACTGCGTTTGAATGGCTTGTCTCCACGGTTACGCTACAGACACAGACATGATTTACAGAATTGCTTTTGCGTTTTCATTCATCTGGGTTTAATTAACCGAAAAGTGAAAAACCACTAGAAATTAGACATTGCAAAGCATTCTGGTTGCAAAACGGACCTTCCATCGGCCGTCCTGTAATTCTCAAGCGAAGGTTATCGGCAGAAGTTAATTAACACTAATACTAATGCTAATAATATTAATGCTGTCAATACTAATCGTCAGCTGCACAGCTTGAACCGCAATGCTGAACTAACTAGTTGGTGATACTGCTGATGAGGGAGCATGCAAGTGAAACTTTTTCTGGTAAATACACTTTGCGTCTCTTGAAAAGTGAGATGTATTACGGAATTCGTGGAGTCGCTATGTAGCATTTGCTTGCAATTGAAGAGCAATCAACGAATATCCAGGAAAGTTCAGGAGGACGCGTTCAGTTAGAAGATGGATAGTAAGTTTTGTATACAAGATGCATATGAAAGTTTTGCTCCCCTGTCCAATAGTCTGTAACTGTTCATTTAGCATTTCCTAATAACTAACTCTGCAGCGAAGTTCCCTTTCACTAATAATACTGATCGTCAGCTGCACAGCTTGAACCCCAAAGCTGAGCTGACTAGTCGTTAACACAGAGGTGCTAAATGGTTACGAAAACCTGATTGTACAATGACAGTAACAACGGAGTCAACGGAAGTGCTGGGCCAACCATCCCGGAATACCTGGAAATAGAATTGATGGTGCCATCACGTATACAGAACATGAGTAATATACTCATTGTGTGCTCTGTATAACGTTTCCCCACTTTTGAAATGCAGTTTAGATTTCCTGATCGCATATCGTCTAATGTGTACAAAACTATACACATTTCCAATACAATTCGTTTGATTCATTATGAATTGATTCACTGATCATATTCTAGAACTAGACCATATGTGTCACTCTCATGTCATTTTTGGTGTTATGACAGTAAAGCTTCAACATGCATCACTGAACTAATGCTATCAGTAACTAACCGATTGATACTACCGTTAACTGGGATCTTCTCGAAAGGAGCTGACACCCAAACAGAATGTGTGCCCCTTCAAAGCACATACAGTCTTAGGATATATGCTTATATGGCTCTCGTTTGAACGATCATCCTTCTGTCCTGGTGAGTCTACACCAAGGAGGGGGAGCACTGGAACTGATCAATAGGGCATACCCAATGGCCGTGCTGGGGTTCGAATCATGCCTATCTGAGGCGAGCGTGTTACCACTACTTCACCAGCGCACGCTTGACTCATCCGAATTTTTAGTTCTGAACAGGTGAACTTTGCAATCTAGTGATGACATACTCAACTCTAAAATTTAGCTATTTCTCGAATCATGCTATCTGAGGCGAGCGTGTTACCACTACTTCACCAGCGCACGCTTGACTCATCCGAATTTTTAGTTCTGAACAGGTGAACTTTGCAATCTAGTGATGACATACTCAACTCTAAAATTTAGCTATTTCTTTATAGGTCCACTCGAAAATCATGCCTCACTCCTTTGCAAGGAAGTAATACCGGGTGCTCAAGACAAGGATTTGTTCAGGAGGAAACATCAATTACCTGGGTGATGTGCTTTGTTGACCGATGTTTCATCTATCATGACCCTGCCTTTCAATATTTCGTGAATATCTAACTAGCTATTGTAAGATCTGTCCTGATTGGGCTTGCCACCAAGAGACAACTCACATAACAAGGAACACAACTTCTTTTCCGCTTTTCCAATCGTTTGGGGACACAAAAGTACAAGCTTATTAAAAAGGAACGGTTGGATGCACTCGGTTGTCAAAGTAATTGGGTTTTAGGACCAACTCTACCTAAACCAGCCAAAGCTGTCCGTTGTGAAAAAGAAGCTTAGCACTAATTAGGGTTTCAGCTGGAAGATGTGTTGCCTGTTAAAAATTCAGTTGGAGGCAACGGTCTACTTTTTTAGAACAGCGTATAATGTGAGGTGAAGGCTAATGTAACGTCGACGAAAATTTAAGGCATGCACCTCCCAGGTGAGCTTCAAGAAAGATGAAATAGCCGTGGGTTACCGAAGAAAACGTATGAGCAGTATGTCTCGTCTTGTCTGAAACAATGCTAGTTCGTAGCTTATTTAGGACGAATCACGAATTTATTTGTAAACCAAGCCATCAAACTGCCGTGTTTGATTTCGGATATCTTCCAATGTTGTCAAATTTACAAATCATCTTGTGTGCAGAGAGGTTACCAAAATAAATTGTGAAAAATCGAGTGGCCCGTAGTTTTGTCCTCAAAAATTTTCGCACACACAGACGAACTCTCTTTAGTCACTGCCTTCAGATGAAAGAGAAACTACACTGTAATCTGAAGGCGTTTATCTTTCTTGTTGCTTAATATATCCTACCAGTACAACTATCTCTTCTTTACCTGACTGTAACACCACTTGCTTTGTGATTTTTCTTTATCGACATCCAAGTGCTTGTCAGAATCGTCAGTGACAGCTTCTCTCGGAAAATGATGACTACTTCAAGATCATTTCACGAGATACACTCAAATTATAGGACTGCCTGTCAATAACTCCACATCAATCCCAACATTCACAGGTTTCCTCCAAGGATGTAGTATTCCGTTCTAAGGATGCTCATTGTGTCTCCCTTTTTGGCCTTTCCATCCAGTGAATGTATGCAGGTTCCACCCTGTTTCGCTCCATGTATGACACACTGGTAGCTCGTGCACACCTGCAGACGCTCCGACGGTGGTTTCTGCAGTGGATATTGCCAATCGCTGTACTGAAGTGTCAGCAAGTAGAATTATTCGTTCTTTATGGGAAAATGCACAGCGATTTGCGTAGAAGCTTCTCAGAAGAATATTATTAATTATGTCTCTCAGGCAATATTCAATATCACCGTCGATAACTGTAACACTAAGCAAATCTGTTCTCACCTGCATGGCCCTGTATCAGGTTTACGTTAGTTTTTTATGAACAACATTGGACTGTGACTTCCGTCCTCTTAGTATGCATTCACTTTTTTATTATACTCCCACGCAATTTCATAAGTCCGCAGTGAATCCGCAGGTTAAAATTCAAACTGAGATGCCCAAAACTCTGACGACCCAGGTTTTCACGTGGTGACGCTGTATCATTGTTTCCGTTTACAACTCTAGCTGATTTGAAACATTAGTGTAAAGTTACGTAACCGAACTGTTCCGCGCACCGCGTAGTACTTTGAGAACCAAACGTTTTTTCAGCCATCATATCGGGAGAACTTTGGAATTTTGTGAATAAGAATCACCGGTTTTCACGATCTTGCTCACCCATATTCACCCATGTAACTTGACAAAAAATGTTCGAACTGAGCCTTGACTTAGCCAAATCAGCTCTCCATCGAAATAGAGAAGTCCCAGTTGTAAACAGGAGGTTAATTATTTAGAACTACGCAGACCATTACAAGTGTTCGATATAACATTTCCGGCTGTTTTGATTGATGACCTGGATGGCCTTACCTAAAATCGCATGTACCACGGGTAAGTTCATTTCAAGTTTTTGTAAGTGGAAAAAGTGTGCTGATCAGCGAAGGAAATAGTTGGCTCAGGATGATATTCGGCAACAAAATGGGGACATGTTGAAAGTCTGGTTCTCTTTCAAACAGTAGCTAAATTAGTAGGAGGTTCTAAAAATCGTGAACGATAGTGATGGGGGTGGATCGTGGACAATTGATTAATTAATGACCCCGATATATGGGTAGTCTTGTGCTCGTAGCGC